AGATTCTGTAATTATAATATATTACATTATATACATAATAATAATAATAATTAATAATATATAATTATAATTAATAATACATAATTGTAATTAATAACAATAATTAATAATAATAAAAAATAAAACAAACCCGTTCTCTGCTTTGATATAAGCGATCCTTTTCCATCAGACTCAGTTCGAATTGCTGTCTTAAGTGTTGGATCTCTGTTTGAAGTTGGTCATTCTGGGCACGCTCCTGCTCAAAGAGGAGACGTAATTCCTCTGCTCTGTAATATTTATTATGTATTTATAATAATTATTATAATCTATACATAATAATATTAATTATTACATATTACAATAATAATTAATATAATATTGCTCAAAATATCGATTAAATAAAATTAATAACGATTAAATTATTTTAAAAAATTTCATTCGGTCACGAAACCCTGCCCACATAATCTACACACATTCCTACGCAACTACCAACACCAACATTCAACACCCTAGAACCAACCGACTAACCAACCGCACACCACCACTACACGACGCAACAATGACTGCGCACACCCGCCGCCGCCTATTTATACCGCACGCGAGCGCGCGCAACAACTTTCCCGCGCTTTTTACTTGAATGCCCTACTTTGATCAGACGATCTGATCTCTGATCAAAATGATCGGAATTTGATCAAAATGATCAAAATCTGATCAGAACACTGATATATAATAAAAAATAACAAACCTTCTGCGCTCGTCATCCAGCTGCGACGCGAGCTCGAGGTCACCCTCGTCGTAGCTCTTTGACATGTTCACCCTGGGCACGTAGTCCTCTTTGACCTCTCTGAGATTAAAAGTGACGTCATCGGCTGGTTTACGACTTGCTGCCAGATGGTCCTCGATGTCTGCGAATCGACGACGGTACTCTTGCACCTGATTTGGATATATTCATTATTGTATGCTAAAAAGTGACGTCATCGGTGACGTAAAGTGACGTCATATGCATTATACAAAGTGACGTCATTATAAATAATGTATTATATGCAAGGTTTGCTCCGATCCCTGTATGCCGCAATCCCGAACCTTGATCCCGATCCCGATCCCGGGATCGATAAACTGATCGGATTTCCAAACCCAATTACATCACCACTATTTTCAAATATATATATATGTATATATTATTATATACATTATTATTGTATATATAATAATAATAATAAATAATAATAACCTTTCTCTGCAGGGTGGCCATCATATCAGAGTGTTCCCGTTGGTGTTCCACATTCGCGTCAATTCGTTTCTTATAGCTGCTAAGTTCGTCCTGAGCCTTGTCCAGCGTTATATTGCCCCCCAGCAGATAGTGCTCTCCCCCCGATAGATCCATCGCATCGTATAGTGCCGATGTACCACTCAACACCCCTCCTTCGTCTAGCATACCCCCTGACCTGAATTTAATTTTAGGATCAATAATAATAGTTATAATGAATGTAATGGTAATAACAATAATAATAATAAATATAAGTTGATAATAATAATAAATATAATAATAATGTAAATATGAGTATATAATAATAAATACAATATATAATAATAAATAATATATACAATATTAAATAATTATTATTATTAAAAAGCCCTGGATCAGGTGATATTTATATGAAGTCCGGGCGAGATCTATAGCCTCTCTCACTCACTCTCTGTTTCTTTCTCTCGCTCTCTCTTTCTCACTCCGCTGTGCATTGGATCTCTACAATGTATCTTTTTGTCTTTTCCGTCTCTTGACAACACATACTCTCTCGCATCGCCTATTGAATTCGAATAGGGAAATGAAATTTGGTCTCTTAAGTAAATAAACCTGAAGCAGCAATTACTCTTATGCACACAACGCATTTTCTTTACATGTTTGCTCAGCCAAATGAGTGGGAAAAAATTTTCCAAAAAATTTGAAAAATTCCGAAAATTTTTCGCGTCATCTCCAAAAAATCGAATTCATCTGCTACATTTTTATCTCTGTTTCTCCGTTTTTCTCGCGCTATTTCCTCTGTCAACCCATAAACCTTCCAACACCCCGGCTTTCCACAGCCTAAACCTCGAAGTATTCAGATACTCCCGGGTTCGGCGGCTTACCCTCCCTGCGACCCCTCCACTGAATTCACCCTATCAATCACTTACCCTCCCTGCGACTCCTCCCCTCCCCGAATTCACCCTATTAATTACTTACCCCCCCTGCGACTCCCCCACCGAATTCACCCTATTACTTCCCCCCCCCCCGAATTCACCCTATTACTTACCCCCTCCCTGCGACTCCCCCACCGAATTACCCCCCCCACAATAAATCTCACCAAATGCCCCCCCATCCCCTTCAAATCAAAAAACCTCTGCCATTCCATTCCCTACCAATCCAATCCAATCCAATCTCATCTCATTCCAATCAAATCAAATCAAACCCTCCCAACGTTCCCCTCATCCAAATAATTGCTTGCCATTCGCTTTATGCCTTCCTTACTCCAAAACCAATAATAAATAAACTAATACTTTATTTACGTTCCTCGTGCTCCATGCAGCCATATATTTCTCATATCATACAGCTCTATATCCTCTACATNTACCCATTGGCCAAAACATCAATAAATTTTATGCCTATGATAAGTATACAATTATATATTTTTAATATATATGTATATTTTTAATATATATAAAAATATATATGTATAATAAAAATATATATGTATATAAATAAATATGAGTGACATGCGCTCATGCATAATAAGCGTTCGCCGATTGCAAGGAACAGATGATGTGCATCAGCTAATAATGTTATTATTTATTGTCATATCGGTGTGAAACTAGACGAGCAGAGATGGCGAGAGAGTTCGTAAATTGTGGAGAGTACGATGGAGGAAAAGATAGAGAGAAATGGAGAGATCAGGGTAAAAGTGGAGAGTGAGGGAGGAAAACAGCGTGAGAGATCAGTTCCGTTCTCTCTGTCCTATCTCCTCTCCTTTTCGGTTTTATGGTCAAGCTATCTGGCACATGGGCTGGAGGGAACGGAAACTGCCTCGCTTCCTCTCTGCTTCCCTAAATCTCCACTTTTATCGTTATCTCTCGTTGACTTTAAGCCTTTTTTTCACTTGTACTC